ATTTAATTAATATTAACTAGGACCTTAATTTTCCTTGTACACTTTGATTTTGATAGGAAATTGTTTAAAATGTCAACTACTCTGCACTTTCCCCGAAAATGGGATAAGAGCTTAACTGAAGTTAAATACTTTGAAACTTTATTTCATGTGCAATGGGGCAAGAGCAGAATTATTAACAAATCTGCTATAAAATGCTTTTTACTGCATTATGCAAGTACTCTATACTGCAAACAAGTACTCTTAGCTGAAATATAAAAGGGGATATAGTGAAACAAAACAAGGAAACAAACATACTAAATGGAGAAATTTCGCTCATATTGTAGTAAAAATAGCCTGTATACGCACTTGCCCCGTTTACGAATTTACCCCACTTCTCCTTATATAAAATAAATATAAAGGAAAATATATACTCAAGTTAAAAAATATATCAATATATCGATTTTAGGAATGCAAGGAAGTACAATGCAAAAATTACTTATAATCTAATTGCTATTTTCAAATTATTTATGTATTCTTTATGGAATATCATTCTCTCAAAAGTGGTAAATGCAAGAAAAAAGGTTAGAATAATCTACTCTAGTGAAGAAAAGTTTAGTTGAGAAATATCAATCGATTTCAATTAATACTAATACAGGAAAGAAAAAAAAAATGGTTTGATGCAATATCATGGAAATGTATGGAGGACGCTTGTCGCACGAATTTATTGAAATAATAAAAAAAAAGATTCAACGATCCAACAATTATAAATAGCAGGTGTTTTCGCGCGGCAGGAAATTAATCAAGATTTAATAAAAAGATTTAACAATTTATCAAAAGGAAAATTTTACTATTAATTAACTGTAACATAACAGCAATTGATAAATAAATAATGCTTTCTTATAATGTGCAAAAAGTTTGTTCATGTAACTCGAATTATTCTGAAGAATTATATTCATGCACTTATACATGTTTACACGATTCTTCAAAATATATCGTTATTTAAAAAAATAAACTACCTTTACTCAAAAAGTATAGTAGTCATTCAAAAAAAGGATTGAAATTTTATATCAAATTGTATTTTATTCAAATTTTATTATAAGATTTTAACATCTAGAAGAAATCGTAAACTGACGACACTCAAAAGTTAAATTCGTATCCCCGTTCATATTTTCATAAATTTTATCATATAGAATAATAATGAATAACACAAATTTTGTAATATATATATTATATTACAACTATAAAATAATAATCTTGTAATAACTTTCGTAATGATCTTGTAATAAAAGTTTTCATTTTATCATTAAACAAGTTTTCTTAAGTTATTTTTCGCGATCTTAAACGTCAGTGAAAATAATTAAAACCTGTACATTAATTTAAATGTACTATGATTATAATTGAACGGGGCACCTTGCATACATACCTGTATACTCGACTTATCGTGTATGTACATATTCAACGTATACGCTTAATTTCTGCAGTATCGTGTTTAAAATTAAGATCTTATATCCTATTGATAATAATATTGATTTCATTAATAATTAGATGTTGCTTATTAGCTCTATACCAAGAAAAATTATCTTAGTAATTATCTTAAAATCGTTCATTCTCTTCTTAAAAGCATTTAAATGTAAATTCTCGGTAATATGTACAAATAGAAAAAGTTTTATTGCAGAAATCTATTGATAAGAAAGTCTAATAAAGTGTGGCGGGAAAGTGTAGAACATTCGAATTTATTAAAAGATCTCACACTTCGACATCATATATAACATTTTGACTCGTTTCCATCGTTTCATTGAAACGAATAAATTTATGTTCTATTGTTATGTTCTATTTTACAGAACTAGTGAACAGTATAAATATAATAAATTGTACCATGCATACTTAAAAGAAAATACGTTCATAAGATACTACACAGTGTGTCGTAAATGAAACCAAACTGTAATTCCTGTCGAAATAAAATTTGTGCAATTTCAGATTTGAAAACTGATACTTCAATTGCTATCTATCAAAAATTGGTCAAAGTATACAGTGTTAAAAATATACAGTCCGAAGTAGCCGTACCATTTATTGTCACAAAATCACAGTCAAGTAACACGTAAACATTAAGTTCTTCTCAAATAATGAATTAAATTTACAACAATTGTCTATGACATGTAGAAAGCAGAAAAAAGATTTAGTAATCACAAAGAGATTTTAACTCGTAATATGTTTACAATTATGTTATCTTTGCTCCTACATCTATCGCGATATAATAATCCACTGTTTCTAAAAATTAAATAATTAAATATTTTTCCCAAATAATGAGTACAGACGTAAATAATTAAATGTGCGTTTATTTTTATGTTGAATTTATCAGAAGAACCTTTGTCTATCAAATTCATTTGCACAATCATCTACGCAAGCGTAGATTCAATATGATCTACGCGTGCGCGTATCGGTCTGCACATGCGCTTACTATCTTGCACATGCATTCACTGTATTGTTTATACGTTCATTCTGCGCATGCGTTATCATCGTTCTGCGTATGCGCTTACTGCTCTGCGCAGATGCAGTCTCAACGTGGTAAACAAATATTCTCAGTACGAAGTTCAAAATCAATTCCTTTAATTCTAAATCTCATTAACTTATATTTCGTATATAAACTGTCGATGTTTATGTGTTTATGATATAATGAGTTCAACAAAATATAAATAAAACCCACACTCTAGGGATTGAATGATTTATATTTACTTTGCAGACTCTGATATACCATAAATGCACAAACATCTCTAGTCTACTTATATACAATCTCTAGCCTACTTGTATAATTGAATGTCTAATCAAAATTTTCTGTTAAATGAAATACTAACTCTTTGGAATCATAATATTTAAAAATATAAGTCTTATTTGGAATATCCCAAACTTCGACTGCAAAGAGTTAACTATTTCATACAGTATTTTCAACTAACATTATCCTTCCATCAATATCATCATAAAAATTGTAGTGTTATAACTATACCAATATTTTTATTTTTATTTTGTATTTTTTAATCATGTAACTGAAAAGTAATATTTGTAATACTAGTTTTGTAAGTTATATTCGAGTTTCAGTATGTGCATTCGGTTCGACCATTATCGTTTTTATCAAATTCGGTTATTTCCGTTCGGTTTCTTTCGCGACACACTGTGCAGGTAGATAGAAAAAGGATGAAAAACTTACGTCGATATGGTCGTCCCTCTTCAGGCGTAGATCGCTCGGTATTCTCGGATCCTGGTGTAGCGTTCGTGTCACGATCCTCGTCTTCGGGAGTGGCGCCACGATTGGGAAGCGATCCGGTCCCGGTTCCGGTTCCCGTGCCCGTGGGCGATCGGCTGGTGGAGCCAGCCGGGCTCTGAGGTGCAACTTCTTGCCCCGTGGCAGCGTTTCCCCCACCTCCTCCGACGCCACCGATACTGGCAGACGCTCCAGAAACGGACACGACGCCTCCTCCACTTGCAGAGGACAACGACGAGGGCGAAAACATGTTCGACATGCTGGAAAGGGAGCTTATGCTTGGCAATCCGGACCCAGATACCGGTCCGTTTCCCGTTTCCACCTTCAAACACTTGCTGGGAGGTGCGAAGGCCGATGGCCCCAATGGCCTGAACCCTCCGAACGGTAAGCGATGATCCAAAGGGTGCAGAAATTGTGGCGGCAGGTGGAGCATATGATGTAAACCGTAACCCAGGGACGCCGCTGTGCTGAATGGCACCTGGAGGTCCTTCGAATCTGTCACCTAAACAAAAATATGACGTCGATGATTAGATTGATGGTGCAATTGCTTTTATTGTGATACTAAGTATCGTTAGGATGGGACCTGAGATTTTAAGAGACGAGTACGAATAATTCTTTGGTGCATGGGTGGAAATATATGGGTCGAATTATTATTAGTATGGCACAAATGTATTTGTATAATATTTAAAGCATAATCAGATGTCTGGGTTATTAAGAAATTTGAGAATTTGAAAATACAAATATCGAGAAGTTGAAATATTCCAAAATTTATATCTTCGAATACTACATGTAGGAATACATACGAACAGGCACGTATACATACAAATTATCCTGCATCATAGTCCATCACGCTCAAATGAATGTGGAAATTAATCCGTATTCTGACGCACGAGATTCACCCCGTTTCCTATCTAGTTACCCTAAGGCAAATATTTAATAGTAAATATTCGGACAAGTGAATTAAACTTACATATTCCTGCACCTCTTCAGTTAAAAAGATCCTATATATTTCCCGGTTAATATTTTGATCGGATGAACAAGATATTTAAATAATCCGTTTGCTGAGCAGCAAATTCATGGGTACAATGGGCGTTCATTAAAGTACGTAACTGTAGCCGAATAAAGGGTTAATAAATCATGCATCTGCAATGTAATATTGCCTATTTGATCCATTATGTATCGCAAAATGGCAGAAAACGTATTAAACGTTCCAACGACTCCGAGGCTCTATTATCGCGATCTATTACATTTGCAGAGATGCTTCTTGCCCCGTGGCAGCGTTTCCCCCACCTCCTCCGACGCCACCGATACTGGCAGACGCTCCAGAAACGGACACGACGCCTCCTCCACTTGCAGAGGACAACGACGAGGGCGAAAACATGTTCGACATGCTGGAAAGGGAGCTTATGCTTGGCAATCCGGACCCAGATACCGGTCCGTTTCCCGTTTCCACCTTCAAACACTTGCTGGGAGGTGCGAAGGCCGATGGCCCCAATGGCCTGAACCCTCCGAACGGTAAGCGATGATCCAAAGGGTGCAGAAATTGTGGCGGCAGGTGGAGCATATGATGTAAACCGTAACCCAGGGACGCCGCTGTGCTGAATGGCACCTGGAGGTCCTTCGAATCTGTCACCTAAACAAAAATATGACGTCGATGATTAGATTGATGGTGCAATTGCTTTTATTGTGATACTAAGTATCGTTAGGATGGGACCTGAGATTTTAAGAGACGAGTACGAATAATTCTTTGGTGCATGGGTGGAAATATATGGGTCGAATTATTATTAGTATGGCACAAATGTATTTGTATAATATTTAAAGCATAATCAGATGTCTGGGTTATTAAGAAATTTGAGAATTTGAAAATACAAATATCGAGAAGTTGAAATATTCCAAAATTTATATCTTCGAATACTACATGTAGGAATACATACGAACAGGCACGTATACATACAAATTATCCTGCATCATAGTCCATCACGCTCAAATGAATGTGGAAATTAATCCGTATTCTGACGCACGAGATTCACCCCGTTTCCTATCTAGTTACCCTAAGGCAAATATTTAATAGTAAATATTCGGACAAGTGAATTAAACTTACATATTCCTGCACCTCTTCAGTTAAAAAGATCCTATATATTTCCCGGTTAATATTTTGATCGGATGAACAAGATATTTAAATAATCCGTTTGCTGAGCAGCAAATTCATGGGTACAATGGGCGTTCATTAAAGTACGTAACTGTAGCCGAATAAAGGGTTAATAAATCATGCATCTGCAATGTAATATTGCCTATTTGATCCATTATGTATCGCAAAATGGCAGAAAACGTATTAAACGTTCCAACGACTCCGAGGCTCTATTATCGCGATCTATTACATTTGCAGAGATGACATTTGCCGTAGCCCGATGTTTCGTCATTACAAACGTTACAAAACAGAAACTCGTTCGCTTCCACCCGGCCATTTACTATGCCAGCTTAATAGACTCGTCAATCACGGCGAATCGAATGATATTGTACAACCAACGAGCCAGAGAGGGAGGAGAAGCTTTGCGTTTTGACGGATTATTATAACACACAGTGGTTTCGCGTTATTAACAGTATAATGCCATATTGCTCCGGTATTATACGCTATTTCAATGTGCTCGAATTCATATGGATACCCGCATACTGTCAATGAGATATCCACTCGCATAATACGATAACTTTTATCCATGAATTCTGACACATATGTCAAAAAGAAGAGAAGGGAAATCACGTGATATTGTTATACGGTTTTCAACGTTAAAAAATATCATCGAATATCGGTTTACGTTTCGAGTATTTTCATATTCTTATTTTGATAATTAGCGTAACTACGTCTAATACCTTGACAATTACATTATATTAATACTAAAACTACCAAACCGGTTATTTGACCTGTTCAGAAATTTTTATTTTGAATTATACAAATTTGGGATGCTTTACTTGAATTGTAATATATATTGTATTGTTTGCTTATTTTTCTATTTTAATTTTAATTTCAAATTCAGTGTGCATTATAGACTAGTAGGTTTAGTTAAATTGTATCGGTAATAATGTAAAATATTTACAAAATTATTATATGAACGTATTATTTTATTATTTATGAAGTATAACATAACGAAGTATTATATAAGTATAACAAACTATTTGCACATTATAAATGACTTTGCCAGAAATTGTAATTAGATATGTGCATTACTCAACAATTTAAGACATTTTATGAAAGACTAATGTGTGTTAAAAATGACCATATAAATATTTCGTTAATATACTTAATATGAAATTATTGTTAAATAACTATTTCATATTGTACAGAGTAATCAATGACGATTTACAGAATATCAATTCATATTAAAGACTCATAAATTAAAAAATTATGGTGTTTATATAATTATTTTCAGCAGTAAGCTTCAAATCGATGTCATAAACACAATTTTATAGTATTTTTATATAATTATATTGTCAGACTAAATGTTCCAAATTTGTTGTGACATCTGTTATGCAATAATCTAATACATGTCACATTACAAATTGTATTTACATTCCGAAATATTCGAATTTCCATAACAGCCCTTATTTGTCCCTTTAATAACATTTCAAAATGAATGATTATTAACGTATTTGTCACCGATGATGATTGTCCCGCTGTTACGCATCAGTGCATAAAAAGCTCATTCTTTTCATATTTATTTTAACCCCAGTTTACGATTTTACAATTTTTCAAACAACTGCTGGTGGTTTGAAATTTTTGAAAAGTTATGTGCTATAATTTCCCAAAATTGGCATTCTCCATAATTGTACAAAGTTTGAACAAACATATTATAAAAATTATGAGTTTTTGTGAGAAAGAAATTTTTCCAGCACTGAATTCAGTAAAATTGCAATATATTTTGTTAAGGTTCAACCCTTTGCACTCAAAAGGCTCTCTCTCGCCATTGAACAAAATTTTGATTTAGTGTAATTGGAAATAAATATTTTCTGTCCAAGCCTATAGTGTCATTTGAAGTCTATCCAAAGTAAAACAGCTACTGGCAATTATTGACAGAAATATAATAATTTCTAAAAAATTCAGATAATTTTATAAATGCTTCCGAACAAAAATGCTGTCGAGTGCAATGGGTTAATATTTACGAAATACACGGTGTAACGTCATGTTACAATATTGATATTTAATTAATTGCGACTCGACATGTCACATTTTCCACTTCGTACATCGCCATTGCCGCGAGGTACGTCATATTTTGTAAACGGACGCTAAACACCGCGTCGTTGTTTAACATTTCACGTTTATAACTGTATCAACACGAAATACATATTTAGTATTTGACGATAGATCCACGATAATATTCTATCGAAAAAATTCATGAGAACGCCGGTAATATTTTTATAAAACAAAATGCGTTATATTTTGAAGAGAAATGGAAACGTTCCTACTTATTAGCGATCGAAAATCGAGTACTAATATTTGAACAATGCTTACGCATTATCAGATCAATATTCCTGCTCACGTAGCTGTTCTCTCTTTCTCTCTTTGTCTCTCTCTCTTTCAAATCCTCTCTCCCTCTCACTGATCGGAATCCGTTTCATACCGTTTTTCAATACCGTTTCATCATATTTGCACAACTTCAGAACTTTACCCTTTACGAGATACGTTTCGAAATCAATCGTAGAGAATGTCAATGTTTCTGGTGTCTTCTCAACAATCTTTTCGACATCGGTGTAACAAACTGCTTTTACATTTCTTCAACCTCCATTTTTTTGTTAAACTGAATTATTTAATTTGCTATTTTATCAACTTGTTTTATTATACATTTATTCCTAGATTACAGATTTTTGAGCGTTATAATATCAAAGTTTACAAAGTACAAATAAATAACGCATCCTGTGAGATTCACGATCTATAAATTATATAACGTTTGTTTACTTTGTATTGATATTTGTAGTAATGTAAATGCATGAACATCTGTAGACCGCTAATAATATTTTGAAATATTTAATTTTATTAATAAAAAATCATGAAGTAGCTTTCAGTTTTATGTAGTAAACCGTAAATAAGCAGACTTCGATTGCATATAATTAATAATAAATAAATAGATTTGCATTGAAAATAGTAAATAATAAATAAATAGATTTCAAATTGAAATAATAAGTAATACGTACATAGATTTAAATTGAAAATAATAAACAATATATAAATAGATTTTGATACACTAAACAATAAAGTAGATATAAATTTGATGTAACAAACAATAAATAAATAGATTTCAATGTTATAATAATTTAGACTCAAGAGAAATTAACATTTAACTGTTCATGTTTTGAAAAAATATTAATATTATTTGAAAGAGTTGCTATAAATAATGAGACGAGATAATAAAAAAAAAGCAGAAAAGAATGAACTAAACATTCATTTTAAAACGAGAGATTATTATACAACCAGATAACCATATAATTAATTAAATTAATCAAGAAAAAAAATGCAACACGTATTAGTTAGTTATTAATTAATAGTCACAAACTAATGACATAATTACACGGCTATTAACACGTTACCGTATTTATTAGTGATTTATATTTTTTTCTTGGACTGTTCTTTACCTGCCTATTATAAATTACTTTCTTATAGTCCATGTAAATTAATTATACAATATATTTCCATAATTTATAATATTTACTTACAAAACTTTTGTTGTACTACAAATTTCATAGGTTTATTTATGAATAATTATGTTTATTATTACATGTTAAATATATTACATTGCTCTTCTAATTTTTCTTAAGAAGCAAAAGTATAACTTCTACCTATGATGTCACAAATAAAGAAATAAATATTTCCATCTGCAATGAGTTTATCTGTGAATACTTGTTGACTGTTATGTATTAACCAGTTAACTGTGGAATTTAGTTTCAAAAGATCACCACAGGGTGCGGAATTAAAAACAAGCAACGACGTGTATACACGTCGAACGCAGGAAAAATGGTACTATTATACATTTTACGAAAAACGAGGAAGGATTACATTTTTATTCGTCAAAAAAACTAACAATTCGTTTCTGAATACGTTATTCTTACTAAAGGCTTGAAAATTGTCAAAAAATAATAAAATACATAAACAAGAAAAATTGAAGATAACAAGAATAAACAAGAAAAATAAGAAAATAGTTTACCAAATGTCAAGCTATGTATGTGTGATATGTTTCAAATCACGGTACCACACAAAGTGCGATTTCACAGGTCGTACACCAAAATCTTGTTTTTTTACGTTTTCCATTTTTGAGCAAACGGCACATCTTCGCGGGTTACGTATGTAATTAGTTTTGAAACGCGAGCCCCCCTCCATATGAAAATACATAGCGGTCGTATTGGTAATATAAAGGGAACATACCACCAAATAATACTCTTATTACATTTTATTGATATTTCGAGTTTTTATAGTGAATGGTAATTTTTTATTTTACACGACGTGTATACACGTCAAATGCACCGCAGTAGAGATTTGGTCCGACGTGTATACACGTCGAACGCACTTAACTGGTTAAGGAAATTCTTAAATTAACTAATTTTCAGAATTGTCAATTTTCAAGATTCCAATTTCTTAAGTTTCCAGAG